GGCTATGGCTTCCTTCACCCTCCTTGGTCTCCTCCTCTGTCCTCTCTCTCTCCCTCTTCGTTACTCCGCGGTCAAGCTCCGCGGCTATGGCCGCTTCCTTCCTCCTCGTGGGACTGCACGGCGCACTTCACAGGTAAGTGACAACCAAACTTGTATCGCTCATCTCTCTCCTCTCCCTCTCTCTCTTCTCGCCGTAGCGATGTCTTCAACGCAGGTACGTGGTAAGCCAACCTTGTATCGCTCAACCTTTCTCTCTCCTCTCTCTCTCTCTCTCCCTCTCTCTCTGTCTTCTTCTTCGTCGTGGTCTTCTCTGCAGGGGTGCGCGGCGGCTTCTTCAACCTCCAGGTCCGCCACTTCTTCTCGCGGCGGTCACCTCAGCACACAACACTGCGCGTGGAATAGCGGGTACCAGCTCCGATACCAATGCAATCAGACTCGCTTTCATTCACGCTTTACATGCATGCAAACAGTAACGCAGCAAACTGGCGACATGCGCCCATTTCGTACTCAGAGATATGGCAACCCAGATACGAGTTCACTTCCAATGGCTATGGCGACACAGCGCCCATACAACTCTCTGTTCGCATACACTGGATCACCCTGGATATCCCACACGCGATACTCTGTTCACTCTCGCACACTCACACACTGAACTCTAACTACAGTTATGGTGGCTATGGCCACCGCTACCCTATCGCTATGGCTAAGCTTCGTCTCTCTGCCCACTTCGTCTTCGGGCTCACTGCAGACCTCCTTGCACAAGTCGCTTGTGGCAGGGCTTCTGCATGGCTCACGCAGGAATGGATGTATGACTGGGCGCTGCCTCTTGATTTATACTTCTGCAGCTCGTTGGTCTGGCCCTTTCCCATGCCCGAAGTGCACACAGTCCCATGCGGTACTCGCTTGACTGGACCAGGACTGCCTAGGACTGGGACTGCTGACTCAGCACGGGCAGACTCCACCACTTGCCTCACCACTTGCCCACTTGCCTTAGCCTAAACGCGGGCAACTTCGAAAGGCCACTACTGGGACCTTCCGGAAGGCCGTAGACTTGGCCTTTCGATACTGTAGCAGCTACAACCTTGACCTTTCAAGAAAGCTACAGCTACGACTTCTAGACCTGACTGTGACTCCAACTGGACAGGTCTACAGATCGAACCCCTGCTACCTATGGACGCTACGAGAACCTACCAACTGTTACAAATACACAGGTCACGGGTTCAACCCTAGGGGTCGACACAGATACTGTACACAGGTAAGGTGGGAACTAGGGATCGAGCCCTGGGATCTGCATCTGCCACTGCGACCTTGACCTTTCTGGAATGTTGCAGCTATGACCTTGACCTTTCAAGAAAGCTACAGCTACGACTTCTAGACCTGACTGTGACTCCGACTCGACAGGTCTACAGGTCGAACCCCTGCTACCTATGGACCCTACGAGAACCTACCAACTGTTACAAATACACAGGTCACGGGTTCAACCCTAGGGGTCGACACAGATACTGTACGGTAAGGTGGGAACTAGGGATCGGGCCCTGGGATCTGCATCTGCCACTGCGAACTGGTGAATACCGTTTCAACTGTACCATATAACTCGGTAGGCTGTGTTGGCCCTTTTCATCCATAAGCTCAGCTCAGGCCCACAGTTACAAAGCGACAACTTTATCACTGTTATGAAGGCACAGTGCCATCACTTTTCGAGGCTGCTGTGTTCTGTAATTGCTCATGGATGTTTGTGGGATGGGGGGCAAAGGCTTGCGTTGTAAGATGTAACTCATTGTTTCCCTGTGGCGGGACACATGGTACATGGCAGGGCAACCTGAAGAAACAGAGCCGACGTTTCACCATGGAGGTGGCAAGGGACTCCTGCTTGCCACTCCAGAGTTTTCATGATCGAACAGCAGTTGGATCACATGGCCAGGGTTGGTCCCCCAATGCCCAAACTCAGGCTGCCATGCAGTGCACGATCAACAGGATGATGGAAGAAGAAGCAAGCATCTCCTTCAAGACGCTTCTTCAGCTGGTGCCATCATTGTGCCAGGAAGTGCGATCTCACCTTGATACTCTAGATGCAGCGAATGCAGGTGGGGGGGCTTCTGACAACTGGCAAAAGAGATTGACGACATTGTCACGTGACCTGTTAGTTGATGCAGGAGGAAACATTGATGAGCATGCCAACCAGGTGTCGGGAGGACTTGTCCATGGCGATGCCTCTTCGTCCAGAGCCATTGGCCAACAATCAGCATACCTATCAACGGGACTGGAGTCCAAATTGCTTTACAATATCATTGAGCAGATTTGGCGCTTGAGGGAAGGCAACATGCCGTTTTATATAATGGCAGAGATATCACCTCCACTTAGGCAAGTATTTAGAGATTTTTTAGATAATCTAGAGTTTCCCGTGAAACGGGCTAGAAAAAGGGTTAGTTTCCATGTCAATGAGGGCATGCCACCCACGGTTCAGGAGAGAAGTAGGGGAGGTAGCCAGCGGATTGATCCGGTGATTGGCAGTAGACTTAGTACACTGTCATCGTCATCATTGTCATCGCCAGCATCATCATCATTATCATCGTCTTCATCTTGCAGTGGTAGTGATGTTGGACCCAGTAGAAGGAGAACAATTCCTCTGTCGTTGCCGAGAGCCCCCCAACACATGTCTGGCCACGTGGAAGATCCAACTGCCCGACCTGATCAAGGTGCCTCTTGTAGTCATCGAGATGGTGACTTCGATCTTCCTGCCCCGTCACAAGCTGAAAAAGTTTCTGGGACAGTACCATGCTGCTGGTGCAAACCCAAGGAACTGAGCCCCCAGGCAACCCGTGCTGGCGGCTCGGCTAGTTGGCTTTGCACCAGGCGCATAGGCACCAGTGGCCAGAGGCTAGGTCCCGAAGCAGCAAGGGACCGATTGCAACTGCAAGGAACTGGGGAATACTCTAGCTTGCGTGATGCATGCAAGTCAGAGCTTCAGGACCACATCCGAGGCAGAGGGAAGTATCCAGTCCATGGTGGGATAGGGGCCGGGAAAGGTGGAAGGTTCAGTGGAACTGGGAGAAGAGACTGTGCAAGGCTTGCTGCTGAAGCTTTTTGTGAGGGAGCTTCCTCAGGCCCTCAGCTCGTCTCACTGTGCAGAAGTGAGCAACCATCACAGCAGATGCATGATTGCATGGGATGCGAAATTCGAAATGGATCAACAGGATCGTTGGATGGAAAAGACGGTGATGATGTGGGTGAGGTTCTAGGTGAGGTTCACAGCATCAGAGCAAGCAGGGGGGGCCAAAGTCTTGTCAAAAGCAGCAGGGCGGAAGTTGTGAAACTTATGGATAGGATGCCATCAGATGGGAGTGGCAGTAGGAGTATTGATGCCAATGATGATGAGCGAAGGTATGGATGGGGGTATTGTAGTGACAATGACGGATCAAATGTTGAGCACAAGAACAAACTGTACGCATATGTCAGTGACACTGGGCATGACGATGCCGTCACTTTCAGTCGGGACAGGCATTCAATGGCTGGCAACAGTGGCCAGAAAGAGACAGAGCTGGGGCGTCCACTGACAGATAAGTACACAAGGGAGCGATGGAGAGGAGGAGAGACAGTACTTGCAGGAGACCCTTCTGTCTCTTCTTCAACGACTGGTGGAAGTAGGAAGCAGGCATATCTGGGTTCTTCTGGGGCCGAAACAAGTGTAGAACTGGTTGTGTCTGTTCTTCACGAGAGTCTTTATGAAAGACTTTGTGGTGAGTGTCAAAGCAGCAGCAGGTCTGGAAACGAACATTTGCGGCAACCTGATGGTTCACAGGATGGAGGGCATTATCTCCAGCAAGCCGCTAGTGAGATGCCCCTGAACACAGCAACAGACCTTGATAATGGTTTGAGGGAGGTGTCATCGAGGAGTGATGAGCTTGTTAAAGCGGAGCCAAAACCATGTAGCAGTAGTTGGGACGTCTTGTCCTGTCAAGTGAAAGCTGGTGTCCCCTGCAAGATCACGCCACATGCGCAGCAGTTGGAAGAGGAGGCAACCAGGTCTTCATCGAGCTCTATGGTCTCCACTTGCCCATTGGAGAGTGAGGGAGCTGGTGTGTGGTGGACGTGGGCTGGTGTGGGGCGCACACGTTATCAAGTCATGGCTGCTATAGCTCAGGGTGTCTTCAGGACCTTGGTCTCCAGGACACTCGTTGACAAGTTGGAACTGGGGAGATCCCTTCACACATGCTCGAGCATGTCCATGGTACAGAGAGAGAGGCCATTTATGCCAGCCATAAATGCCAGGGAGTTGATTGAAGGTGTTACAGTGACTATTGGGGAGCGTGCTGTCATTGTGGATGCGCCAATCTTGGAAACACCATGTGGCTTTGATGTCATATTGGGCCGTGATTGGATGGTAGCCGTGCGAGGAAGATTGTGTCTTGACACTAGGCGCCTTGTTTATGAGGTACGGCTAGGCAGTGGGAAGTTCGATTCTGTGGAGATGGGATTTGATCCTGGTGGGTGGAAGTGGGGAGTTCTTAGACGGACGCCAGAGAAATACGGGGGTCCACAGGATAAGGGATTCAAAGGCTGGGATGAGGGGCCAGAGAGAGAGAGAAAGGATACAGATGATAGCGGTAAAGAGTGTATATTTAGTGGTGAAAATGGTGTTAGAAAGGGAACCATGGGGATGGATCGCTCACATCAGTTTTTTTCCAACGCCATCAGTTCCCAATCAAGAACTGGGAGATTAGGAGATAATGACGATGGTAGTGGTGGAGGTTCCACAAGGAAACTCCAAGATCGCACAACAGATGGTTGGGAGGAATCAAGAGGAGGCAGGAGGTCATGGAGTGGCAGCATGAGCCATGTCGGGAAAGAAGAACAAGAACAAGGAATCAGGGAAGGAGAGGTGCACCAAAGAGAGGAGGGAAAGTTGAAAGAAGCTGGCTCTGGGCGATGGAAATCAGCTGAAGGATGTGGAGGAGCATTGGTTCCTGCATGCTCGTGGGGGGTAAGGACTATTATAGACGGAGGAACCGTAGTGACTGGCCCAGTCCTTCTCATCGCTGGAGTGGGGGGTGAAGTGGAAGATGCATGGCGTAAGGAAAGGGAGTGCTTCTTGAGAGGTATAGGAGCAGGTCGATGGGTGTGGGCCGAAGTAGCAGGGAGGCCTGTGAAGGCTGTAGTCGTCCCAGCAGCTGCTCGCACAATCGTTGCTCTACAGCTCATCAAGAGCGCCGGTTTGGAGGATTTTCTGGTGGGATGTGACTGCCAGTTTGAAGGGATACTTGGTGATGAGTTTGCTGCAGCAGGTTTGATTCACACACTGGAAATTAAGGTTGGCAGGAAGATTGCTGTCACAATGGAGGCACCAGTGATTGATCTGCTGTGCTTTGACATCCTCCTTGGATGCGATTGGATGGAGAAATTCAGTGTGGAGGTCATTAGCGGCTCCAGTGAAGGCAGGGAAGGTGCAGAGGACATGCTCAAGTGCTATGTGACGGGGAAGGAGGGTAATGCCAGTGAAGCGGGGAGTGATGGGTTTGAAACTGTTCGTCTTTATACTGACCTGAGTAGGTATTATAGTTTATGCTTCCGAGAAGTTGGTACGGGAACCCAACCTGAGATGGTATTTGGCAGCCAGGTTCCTTGGAGGCGATTGGGACTGGGTCTGTTTGGCCTTGGCAGTGGACTGATGGGGGAGTCAAGTGAGGCAGGGGGTGAACTGGTCCTGAGAAATCAAGGGTCCAGAACCCTCTGGTCTTCAGGAAACCTAGCAGGTGGCGGAGAAGGAGGTTGTTGTCTTGACAACATAGAAAGAGACCTCAAGAGTGGCACTAATGGAACCCTTTGTGTTTGCAAAGCGATAACGACAGGGCTACGGGCTGCCATCCAGTTACATGGTGCAGATGATGATGGAGGTGAAGAACCTGGTATGCTGCCATGGCCGGTGGAGAAGGCAAGTGGTTGCAGCGGATTTGTACATAGTGTAGGGGATTGCTGCCATCAGATGCAGACACACGGACAAGGAGCAAGTGCAGGTTCTTGCTGCTTAGCTGCACAACAGCCTCCACTGTTGCCCTCCCCAGTTCTCAGCGGATGTGAGGATGCTGTAGCAGACATTCCAGACAGGAAAACAGCAGCTTCCAAGGAAAATGAACAAAAGGAGAGCGCAGGGTGGTACGATCACAATTGTCGGGAGATTCTCTTGGATGGGGCATGGGAAGGGCTGTCCGGGGAGGTGGAAGCCTGCTGTTACTCGGAGGCTCAGGAGGAGCAAGCATGTACTCCCGCAAGGACGGTTGACCTCAAAGGGAATGACCATGATGATGGTTTCTGTGAACATGCTCAGAGTGAGAGTGATTTTGAAGGATTGGCCAGATCTCTTTGTGACAAAGAAGAAGAGGAAGGGGAGGTTTCTGAAGGGGGCGAGTCTGAAACAGAGAAATCGAGCACAGCTACGGTTAGCGATGCGGATATGCCAGCAGGTTTTGTGAAAGTCTTTGACGAGGCCGAATTTATAGAAGTCTGTAGCCAGCCCTCTGCTGCTTCAAGCAATGTTGAAATAAACCATGAAGAGTCTGAGAGTGAATTCTCAGACTTGAACAGTGAAAGTAGTCGTATTTCTGAAGACAGCAAAGAAGCTCCACTCAATCCATGCTATGGTTGCGGTCATGGTGATGGTGATAGCAGCTGTGGTGATGCTCGATCTCTTGCGAACGATGAGGCTCAGTGTCATCTTGATGATGTGGGCGATTTCCAGCTTGTGGATTTATGGTCGTCGGATAGTAGTAATTGCCTAAGAGAAGGCCGTCATGATGTTGCCACCCAGCAAGAGAGATCGTCGAAACAGGCAGAGGAGGAGGACGGTTTCCATGTGACAGATGATGGTAGATCACCACTGGAAGGTGTGCCCATCATGTCATCGGCAACATTGGATGAGACGCCACAGACTTTCTCTAGTGGGGGAGAAGCTAGTAGCAAGCAATGGAAGCAATGGAAACAATGCCTACAGCCCAATACTCAGAGAGTACGAGCTGACCTTGTCATGGTAGAGTTTGACGTGACGTTTCCCAGATGTGCAGTCCGATCACGATCGCAAAAGAGCAGCTCCGGAGAGTTGATGTGCTCTCCAGTGCCATCTCCAAATTATGGTCAATGTGGAGATAAGGACACAATGTGCAGCAAAGTGGAATTTGAAACAGGATTAAACAGCACAACAACAAAGCTATCACCGCCCTCCACAGATCGACTGATGTTCCGTGGCGATCAGCATAGAGGAGGATTGAAAGACCGCGAGCGGCAGAAGGAACCGGGGTATGAGAGCTTCAGCGATTTTCCTCAACCCGATGGATGTAGAAGTGACGTTGAAGATGAAACATCAAGGGAGTCCTCGAGAGAGTCCTGGCAGTGGGAGGATGAGGATGAGCATGGAAGCAGGGATGAGAATGAAGACGGCTCTGCTCCTGCGAATGGAGTTTTCTCATTTGCTTCCACCACAGACTGTGGTACACACTCGGAAGGTTCAGAGGTGCTGGATATGAAAGCGATGGAGTATGACACCAAGCAGGGAATGCAGGCACAGCTAGAACTGCCACCTCTCCATCTTCAGTTCAGTGTTACCGAGAATCCATGGCGACACGAGGGTTCATTCGTAGAGCCATCTGGACTGTCTTTTGCCGCAGATAGCGCAGCAACTTGTCATACACAGTTGGCATGGAGAGAAGATGATAATGTTCACGGCATGGGCAATGCTCAGTCACCATGGCTGGGCAATGTGAAGGAAACGGAGACTCTTTGTGATGAATTGGTTGGCCGAAAAAAGGTGCCCACGGCATGTGAGCAAGTGATGATCGGGTTAGATGGAGTCTGGAGGATGGTCAACGAAGAAGGGAGTACTAAACACCAACCAGATACGAACACAGTGGGCATGCCAACAGGTGAGGCTGCCGATTCGTCTGTTTCAGTACCAGTGCCTCATCATGGGGGCCTTTCACAGGATGCAAGACTTAATGGGGATGTAAGAGAGGTGGTAAGGCTGGGGGCTAAGGAGTGGAGAACAGATCCTATTACGATGGACTTGAAGTCCACTGGCCGTAGTTGTCTCCGTCATGACTCGGTTGATGGGACATCATCTGCTTCCGGATCCATGGCATCTTGGCCGTCAGCTGTGGTTGGAGGCTGCAGTGAAGTGGTTGGTCAAGCGGTAGCGAGTGTGAATGAACAAATCAAACGAGTTCTGATAGGTGGTCATGGCCTTCAGAGCGAGTTTCAGCCAGAAGGTTGTGGTATACGGATGATGCAGTGGGGGAGGTGTGGAGAGGAGCAGTGGGGGAGGTGTGGAGAGGATATGAATGCAAATGAGCTTGCTAATCCTTCAAGATTTGACGATGATGCCATCTGTGCTGGGAGTGCAGATGGAAGTGTAGAAGGATCTATTTCGGTTGGGTGGATGGTGACAGAGTCAGCAAAAGGAGACACACATGTGACCGTTGATGGTTCAGTAGCAGAAACTGTTACTGAAGGGCATATCTTGGGCAGATATCAGTCAGCCCTAGAACTGGGTGCTTTTGGGAGAGAAATGGACAATGACGAGGAGGAGGAGGAGGAGGAGGAGGAGGAGGAGGAAGAGGAGGATGAGTGGGATGATGTAACAGGTGAAACAGAAAGTGAAGAAGCCTCATTGCCATCGTTCTGTGAGGAGGCGTCGAGGTCGTACAGCAGTAGTCATTCTGGCGAGATCCAGGGCTGTCCAGTTCTTCAGCAGAACTCTTCATCACATCCGAACTACGGGGAAACGGTGATGCATCACTACACAAACAATGGTTATATAGGAGAGGACGATGTCGATGCTGAGATTGTTGTTTGGAAACCTCCAGTGAGGTCAAGCTCGAGCGATGGTGGGAAATTAGCCTCTGCAGCAACTTCCTATTCCATCGATTCATATGCGTACAGCAGGGACGGACGAGCCATGCACACTGTGGATGAGCAAGTGCAGATGCAATCGCTCTCAACATTCTGTCCTCAGAAACCTGGCGCTGGTCATGTGTGGCATATGGGCTGCAGGAGCCCTGTTCAGCCACAGCAGACTGACAGAGGAAAAATGGGAGGCTCTCTGCAAAATACATTTCAGACTTCTCAGAGAGGGCATGCTGCAGATCTCCATTTCTGGGTTCCTCCTCTAGCATCTTCAGCATGTGACCTGGAGCAGCAGGTTTGGGATGTACCTGAATTGCAAGAGGATGTGGCAACAGGAAGCGGACAGCTGCAGAAGAGAGTTTGTGGCGGAATTGAGCAACAGCCGGTGGACCCATGTTCGGTGAATAGTCCACAGTTGCTGATGGAACATAACGACCACAATCATTACGATCATCATGAGGTGGGTCAAGTTCGAGTTCCAGAAGCAGTTGTTCCTGGGTATGGTGGTGGCTGCAATGAGGGATGTAATGGCTTTGTGACTGGCTGGAAAGAGGGAAAGATGGTGAGGCTAAGTGGAAGGGAGAAAGCTGCATATTCATACGGTAATGTAGCAGCATGCCTTGAATGGACAGAAAATGGAAGGGAGAAACTCCTCAGAGTGGAGGGTTGGCTGGGTAGAGATGAATCGGAAAATGGTGATGATGAATTACAAGTGGCACAGGCGAGTGGGACTCATCAGTTTGTTGGTGTTGCATTGGACGATTCAGGAATGTGCAGCCCTGCTAATAAAGAGGATCATGTCAGAAGTCCATGCCTGCTTGTTTCTGAGGGTATTGGTATTGTGGGCGGGCATACGAAGAGGAATCTTCTTAATGATGACCACAATCAAGTTGAGCATGATGGCAATGACAATAATGACAATGATGATGGCAACAACAATGTTGGTGATGATTTTGATCACTACGGTTACGATGGTGATGATGATGTTGCGTATAGAATGTCTGCTATGTCGTGGGCTTGTATTTCTCAGGGTAAGTGCACCTGCAATAATGATCCAAATTGCATTCATAGCTGCAAAGATGTGGACTCTGTTGCGTCTGCGGTCAGGTTTGCAGGAACCAGCAATAGCATAATCGGGATTGAAAGGGCTGCACCTGTACCTCTTAGTAGTGGTATTGAGGTGAGAGAAGAAGTGAACGCACGTCTAATGGCACGACCAGGGGGCGATAGTTCTGGTGAGCAGACCACTGCTCTGGAGGAGTTGAGGTGTTTCCGGATTGACACTGGGGACTGTGCACCTATCAGGGAGGAAATCTGCCCGTTACGGGAGGAGGAAGAGGAGCTCATCCGTGAGTGGATAAGAAAGAATCTGACATTGGAGAACGTCAGGCCATCATCCAGTCAATGGGTCGCACCCGTCGTGAGAGCATACCGCAATAGTCAGGGGTTGGCTGAGGTATTGATAGATTACAAGCGACTGAATACTGTGTTGAAAAGCAGGTGGAATGGTCACGGGCTTGGATGTATGCCTGGTTATGTGTGTACTCAAAGTGAAGATGGTGGAACTGGCAGAGCTGTGGGGATGAAGAGCTACGCATCAAGGAATATGTCATGCCATTTGCCTCATGCCATTGATGTAGTTCGGGGTGTCCAAGCAGATGCCTCCTGGTTCTCAACCATGCGTGTGAAGGGTGGAGGAGATGGAGACCTGCATCTTGCTGACGAGGACAGGGAGAAAACAGCATTCCTTACCAAGGACGGGACTTTCGAATGGTTGGCTGTGCCAAAGTGGGTGCATGGCGTGGCATATGCTTGGCAGCGTCTGGTGGAAGGCGCTCTACGTGGGCTGCTGGGAAGGTGTGTGGTTGCACACTCAGGGAACTTGTTGGTTTTCTCCAAGAACAAGGAAGAGCATGAACGAGATGTTGCAGCAGTTGTTCAGCAGCTGAGAGACGCACGCTTACAAGTTGTCATTGACAAGGGTGGCCGTAATCGGAGGGAGGTGACGTATCTGGGGTACCTGATTGATGGGTCCGGGCGGCTTCGTCCCAGTGCCAACAAGGTGAATGCAGTGGGAGGGGTGGCCGTTCCTACAACAGTGCAAGGACTCAGAGCGTTCTTAGACCGTGTGGGCGACTTGAGGCAATTCATCCGGCGCTTTGCACATATTGCAGCTCCTCTGCGAGGGCTCGTCCAGAGTAGATTGCCTCCGGCTGGGTGGACCCCGCAGTGCCGCATCGCATTCGGAGAGCTGAAGGCACGGGCAAGACATGCTCTTGAAGAGAAGCGTGCACTCTATAGGCCAGATTTCGCCCTTCCTTTCCTGTTAAGAACAGAGCTGCGAGCCGAGGGCCTTGGAGCTACCCTTGTCCAGCTCGTCATGCGTCCACTGAAGTCTTGTCTGCTTGATTCCACATATTCTTCGTATGAGTTGACCCCTGGCAACTGTCACCCTGCTGCTGCCTCTTCTTCAAGTGCTAGACAGCTCCTGGATGGCACGCCCTCACCTCCCACTTCGTTTGCAAGCTCCATATCTACATCTGTTTCAAGTTCCACCTCATCTTTCACTTCCTCTTGCAGTTCCAGTTGTATGTCGGAAGTTGATCTACAACGCGAGGATGTGGTTGATGCAGCTGCCACAACCACTGCAGCCTCTATGGCACCAGTTCAACAAGAGGAGCTAGTGGTAGGCTATGCGAGTAGGGTGTTGACACGGGCAGAGGCAAGGTACACAAGTGTGGAGAAGGAGTGTTGGGCAGCCTTATGGAGTGTACGGCAGTTCCATCACTTAGTGTCTGGAAGGAAGTTCTTCCTGGAAGCCGACCGCTTGACCCTGCTTTCTGCCATGCAAGGGGATCAGAATCCTACGGTACATATAAGTCGCAGGGTGGCAAGGTGGGTGCAAGAACTTTGGCAGTACGACTTTTTGGTCTGTGACAGGGAAATTGCAGCTGCAGGAGCATGCTCAGGCTCAGGCACAGGAACACCTGCAATTATTGATCTCGGGTCCATGTTCATGGCAAATGCAAGTGGTCAGCAGGCGCAGGGTGACAATAGTGCTCAGCGGGCAGCCGTAAGTGCAAGCCGTTTGCCTGTCGGGGACATCGGCACAGAGACTGGAATTGGGGCTGGGAATTGAACTATGGGACATTTGTGCCAGGCAGGTGGCAATCCTAGCTGTTGCACAGCTTGCACTGCATCATGCATGCAAACCCAAGGGCCCAGTCCTGTTCTTGAAGGAGATCCCCTGTCAGAAGGGTATGTGACACTATATGTCTTCCACAGGTGCAGGTCCTTCCAGCTGTGTTGTCGAACCATATTGAGCACACTGACTCTGTAAGCTGTCACTCATTGTTTATTCATCCCTTTCTTTCCCTCCATGATGCAATGACAACAATGCTGCTGCTGCTGATGATAATGATGGTGGTGAGGACGGTGAGGATGGTGATGATGGTAACAATGATGGTGATATGATATTGATGACAGCGGTGATGACGATGGTGATGATGATGACAATGATGACAATCACGATGACCATGACGATGACGATGATGATGACGATGACGATGGCAACAACGAGGATGAGGGGGATGAGCAGTGTGAGGAGGGGGAGCAGAAGGGGGAGGAGGAGTTATGCTGACAAACGACCTCTGGTTTGGTTCGGTAACCTGATCTGGTTATGATCCTTGCGTTAGCTGTCGGATAGACTGGTACTGGTTTGTGGAAGGAGCCTCTGCACACTCAACATCATCATGCTGACAACGGTCTACCCTGCTGGTGGCAAGTGTTGAGAGTTGAATTCTAACAGAGCAAGCCTTTGGAATATCCATACTATCATCATTCCATTCATCACCCTGACTACAGGCTTCTCTGCGCACAGCAAGAAGCATTGGTTGCTCAGTTTGGAGAAGTGGCTGTGGTCAGGGTTTGTATTAAACATGCTATCCTTGTATCTTGCTTGCCCTTGACAAGGGTCAATGGATGCAGTGCAGATGCATGACCATTTCAAGAAGACCAGTGTGCACAGTCCAACCTTTCAGTCAATGCCCAACCTGATTCATCTGTTATGTGGATATCCCCTCACCCTTCCCTCCGTCCCTTTGTTTGTCATTCACTCGCTCCCTCTTCCCCCTTCCAATTGTGTCAATTCGTTTGAAATCATGTGCGCCAGGTTGCCATTGCCGTTGGGCTTAATCACTTTCTGCATACCTCTGTTTCCTATATAGCTAACCTTTGTTTCTTTTCTTGGCACTTTCAGAAGCCGTTTGACTTTGTCACCCACCAGTGAGTTGGTGCAAGTGACAACTTTTTCTCATGACCTGTGTCCGCCTCCCCCCCCTCCCTCCCCCCATCTCCTCTTTCTCTCTCATATATACACACACACACACTTCCTCTCCCCGCCCTTCTCCCTCTCACCCACTCATACATCCAGTCTCTTTCTTGCTCACACATGATCACTCAGTTGCCAAGCTACTTCCTACTCACTCTTTAGTCCTTCCCATTGGTGAACACACGTGCCGCCCAGGCTACTCAACACATAACTATATTCAAGAAGAGGAATTGCTTGGCACTGATCCCCACCGCAGCAAAGGCGAGCTGGGCTAGAGCTCTTTTGGAGCAAAATGGATGTTAGGTCATCTTGCAGTCAGCCGTAGGGTGACAAGTTCCCATTTAGGCAGCTGTAAGTCCAGACCCCATGCAGTATATACTATATAGTGATGACAAATTTGCGTCAGGCACAGTGTAAACAGTGCACATTCGATCAGAGAGCCATTAGGGATGGAAAATCACCCACCTGTTAAAGTCATGCCAAAATCAGATGTGACCTGCTAAGGATAGGAGACAGTAGCACCCGTTGCATGTCAAGCAAAAGCAGTTGTCGGCGAATGGAAGCAACTTCAAGCCCCAGTGAAGCATAGCCACCAACCGTCTGCTAGAATATTCCTTATCCAAGGTTACTCTTGCCTCCATATAGCATGCCATTGGCTAAGGCATCCCTTCACCAAGACCAGTCCTATTGCCGCTGGCATGAATATCATTACTGACAATCGCCTGTCCTAAACCCAAAGAGTCGCTAAACCACCGCTACATCTGAACCTGGGCCTTCCCAGCCTCCAAAGGTCTGGTACCACACCAGTTTCTCGGAGTTCGTGAAATGCTGGGCCTACTCTAGTCACCGCATTGGAAAAAAGCAGGTCCTCTTATGTATGTAGTGGTGGTTTGAAGTGTCCTGGCCCCAGCGAAGCTGGCATACCCCATACTTTATCCAGTTACTGCAAGAGGCCCACTTGACCTTCTGAGTGGCACTGGGCCTTGCATGGCTTGAGCTCCTGAGCAGTTGTACACGGGTTGGTCGGCATGTAAAACCCCTGGGCTAAGCTCAAGAGCTATTTGGCTGGAGTCTGGGTACGCCGGGTTCATGGTACCAACCATGGTGGGATAGCAGAAGTTATGGTCAACGGGCTTCGATTTCATCTCAGCTCACTTTGCCTTGTGGTATGTGTTCGGCTTTGAGTGCAGCAGGTTAAGGGTTTGATTCCTGCATTGAGCGATTTCATTTAATTTCAGCGATTTGAATTGGAGCTTGGAGAGACAAACAAGACAAGCACTGGGCCTTGCAGTCTGTCTCTATCATCTAATTTGATGCCATACCCGTCTTTCAGTCATCACCACTCACCTCGCCGACTCAAACATCGAGCATCAGTTGGATGACACGTGATTCCCATGGATCACGTTGATTCTTTGGGAGATTCAAAGCGACTTGTCTGGCTTTTATTACATCTTAAGGGACTCGAAGGATTTCACAACACTGTCCAGTGACTCAGTCATTCACATCAGGCAAGTAGCCCATGTTCTTTTACTCGTGAGGCTTGTGGCCCATGTGGAACAAGGGTCGCAAAGGAGGGGGCATGTGTTGCACGTGTTAGATGACTCAAGGAACTCATGTGCCTTACTTGCACTGAGCAATGTCTAAGGCCCACTTAACCTTTGATCCGCATATAGTCTATGCCTAGTGCCAAATCTGGGATCGGGGATGGGGTTGCCTGTTAGTTTGACATCGGATGGTTCTGTGATCTAAGGCCCACTTAAACTTCCATCCACCTGTAAAATATGCCTCATGCCAAATCTAAGGTCGGGGATGCGGTTGCCTGTTAGTTTGCCATCGGATGGATCTGTGACTGATCAATGCAGTAGATTTTGCAACACTTTATAACTTTATATGCATGGGCCAGAGGGCTGTGGAGTTTGGTATAGATGAATGACCATGTACACTCCGTGAAGTTAGTGTCATTCACAGAACGCACGCACACGCACACACACACACACACACGCACACGCACACGCACACGCACACGCACACACACACACACACACACGCACACGCACACGCACATGCACACACACACACACACACACACACACATTCTACTTTGCCGATTGTGCAGAACAATTCACGTCTCCTTTTGTAGTGACACACCTATTCTACTTCGGCGATTGTGCAGAAGAAAATCTCACAATAGACACAAACGCACATGCAAATGCACAAAGCAAAGGGAGGGAGACAGGGGGCAGGGGGCAGGGTGAGGGGAGAGAGAGAGAGAGAGAGAGAGAGAGAGAGAGAGAGAGAGAGAGAGAGAGAGAGAGAGAGAGAGAGAGAGAGAGGGCGGTGGCCAGGGAGAAAAAGGCGTTGAAACAGAGCTACAGTTCGTCTTCGASGTATCTCCAACACCCCTAGCTAAAATTTATGAAGGGATGGATGCAAGGAAGGGAATGGGGATGCTAGGAGTATGTGAAGCTTAATCAGAAGGGAGGGAGGGAGGGAGGGAGGGAGGGAGGGAGGGAGGGTAGAGTTCAAGGCTTCTTGATGAGAAGCTAAGCAAAACGCATACTCGTCACAATGTCTTTTGTGATATTTATGCTGAAGCCGTGCAAGGATCAACCAATTGCGGGTGCAGTGCTGCAAGTTCAGCATCAGCTTTTCTTAATCTGTGGTGTTATTGCTAGTAGTAGTGCGGCAGAGGCGGCCTGCAATAAAGACGAGGGAAGGGGGAGAGAGATGAATTAGAGGTGTTAGAGAAGAGGAGAGGATCACACAGTAGAGTAGAGGGAACAGAGACAGAAGAGGAAGGGAAAGTTCAACAGCTGGAGAAAAATCCTGTTTAAAGGGAACAAATTTCTCCTTGAATAATGTGTTGAGTTGGCTTATAGTAATGGTGCCAACTGTTGAATGGCATGTACAATGCGGCGTAGTATGTACTAAAATTCCTTGGACCTCAGTTGAGAGTTTTGTCTTCACATTCCAGACCAGGATTTACAAGGCCTCGCTTTAAAAGAGTTATGGTAAGATATGCGTGCACTTTCAGACAAGACTGGCACAAAGTTTACACGCCGGATAGTTATCCATTTGATGTGTCACTGTGTAGCTTAACCTTAGTGTAACACCTTTAGCTTACCTTAGATTATCTTTCTCTTCACCCTATTTCGTGTGCCTATGATTGTTCCTCTACACTAGCATGTGCCCATGATTGTTCAATCTTTGTATTTCTTTGACATTCTACATTTATCACCTCACCTTAGCCTAACTGTAGTTAGAATGTGAATGGACGGGTACTCTGTCCCCCAGCTTTGTCCAACCCAACTGCTAGCTTACCCCCCCCCCCCCCCCCCCCCCTGATCCAGCCAGCACCCAGCCAGCCAAGGATTCCATCTGTCTAACTGACCAGCTAACTTGGAAACATTCTAGCCTATCTTGCTACCCAGGATATATCTAGCAGGTCCTGCTTTTCCTCCCTCCCATGGCATGCTTCCCTTCCACTCTCTTCCATGATGTACTCGAGATGTCAGCATGCATTCTGGCCAATGACAAATGCACCGATGAAAATTTACTGTTGCTCATCACATTTTGGACTTCTGTCATGTTCGGAATCTTTCACATTTTTTTGTCAATCGAAATTTCAACTCAATTCCTTGGCTAGCGAGTTAAGGGCGTACTCACTCCAGGACTCCATGATGGACTCTGTTCCCCTTTCTGGCTGGAGACATCCATGAAAGGTGTGAATTTGTGGCTATCCTCAGTTACTTTTAGTTCCTTCGCCACTAAGGTTTCAATGTTTCTCAGCCAGTTTCTGTCGATTCCTTGGCTGGGTAGTATGTTAGCAACTTGATTAGGTTAGTTACTGCAGATGTTCATCCATTGAGGTTTCTGTTCAAGTATTCGTCGGCTCCCCAGTAAAATGGCCGCCAAGGTTTTCAAGTTTTTGTGAATTCCTTGGTTAGTAATTGCTATCTAGTACTTAGTGACAGTGGCAGTGATTTCACCTTCGTCAGATACTTGCTAAGCTGTGTAGCTAATGTTGATTGAGCGAGTCAAGGCTCAGTTGTTCAGCAAGGGGTACTTCAGCCTGTACCTTATCACAGGGCTGACTGCATTCATGCTAACTTCGCAAACATACATAGGTAGATAGTCAGCTAGTTACTGCAGGTTGTCACTTAGTGGTGTGGGGCTTAGGAAGTGAGCAATTCATGTCGAACCGTGAATTTTTTAGTCAGTTCACCTGTAGTCTGTTACCTTATGCATGCACAACTGGGTGAGCTGTCGGCTATGTCAGGGATACGTCTGTGAGTTACAGAGCTGGTCAATTAGTTAGGTAGTTAGCTGGAGACTTAACCACTCTGTGACCAAGTAACTGAACTGCAGGACAACTTAAAGTGTCGAGTGCTTTTTCACTTGTCTTTGTTACTTACAGGGTGAGCGAGCTTGTAAGTTAATCGCTGAGTCACAAAATGAGTTGGGGAGTGTGTGTGTGTGTGTGTGTGTGTGTGTGTGTGTGTGTGTGTGTGTGTGTGTGAGAGAGAGAGAGAGAGAGAGAGAGAGAGAGA